AAATCTTGACGGAGAGTGAACAAAAAGAGACTAAGAATCTCTTGTATTTTTTGTCAAGCAATTCTAACTCAGTCGATAGTGGGGATTATAAAGTGGGAAAGAAGAGGTATAGAGGAAGATATCTCTCCCTACATATCGCCTAGGAAATTACACTGTTCATAGAGGCAATTTCAATGTTTTTCTTCATTAAAGGATAATAAAGGATAAAGCTCTCGGCGTTGATCAATCCCGGAGGTATGCGCCATGCATTCAACATCATTTAGCATTGTTGGAGGTGACTGAATATCTGGGAATATCCGGCCTTTACAATGAATCGCGGTGGCCTGCCGATGTATCAAGCCAATGATGCTATCCTCCCAGACAAATGTGGTACTAATTCGCCGATCCCGGAGAGATGGAAGGCTTGGTGGGCCATGGGCTCGGGGATCAATTCCACTTGTGTGTCGCAGTAGGGCCTCCAACCCCTGCCCCACACGCGCCCTGATTGCACAAATAGTAACAAATAAATAATTGCATTACAAATGAGTAAGCTAAAATCTATTGCATCCATCTCTGTTTCTTCCTCATTCCATCGTTCATGTATGGGCAGACTATCTTTTTGTATAACTTTCCCAAGGAATTGAGTTCTGTAGGTTGTTCAAGATACTGAAAAAGACAATGTGGACGAAGAAGAAGGGAAAAAATATGATAGAGATGATGATGTGATCAGCCGTGGGCGTTCAAATTAAGTAGTGACCCACAGGAGCCTGATCTTCAATGGCTCAATTTGTTGTGGATGAACGAACCCTGCTTGGATGCGTAGACTAAGTACATTTTCACAAATTGTTTGGAGTTTTTATGTTATATTGAATCTGCTAATGAAAGAAGCGGACAGATACCGGCAATTGAAGAACCAGTCGTGGGAGCCAACAACTGTTAAAGATCCGGAAATTTTCACTGGAATTTGCTTTCATATACAATAAAATGGGACGGTCTACTGATATATCAAGTCAGTGCTGCTACCTCTCTGGCACGAATCAGCCGACTTCGGAAAGGAAGAGGGAATAGTGAGTCTGAGGCTTGGAATCGAACCAGCAATCGCTACAGTGTGCATTGTAAAACAATTCTGATCATTGTGCTACGTGCGCGATATGCTGTTAAAACTGTTTCTCCCAAATCACTTCCGTTGACCGTTGATTGCTCATAGCACCGGCACAGTGAAAATATGGCCGAGAGTAATCCAAATCAAAAGATTGATGGCGAAGTGGATAGCACTTGAGCGCCGAACCTGGCAATGGTTGATTTGAAGCCCACGCTAGCCGATTTGTGCTGTGCGCATGTAAACATCCGTTTACGGTTCTTCTCAACCAAAGCAGTCCTTACAGAAAGTTAATCGGTTTCTGGTTACCTGTTCGCGCTGGGCGATTTGTCTCATCGGTACATTGAGAAAAAACACATGGCCCAGCTATCCACCTTCCTACCCTACGATTTTCTTGCGTTGATGCATCACTTGTGTTACTTCTAAACTTGTCAATCTTTCGTAACTCATATACACAGCAATAAAATTTCCATTTTCTCCTACTTATTTTAGGTTACAGGTAGCCTGAGTGTGCACATCCCTAAAGGAACACAAAGAATGTACTTCTTGTGGGAAGCTCTTTGTTGTTAGCTTTTTAGTGGAAGGATGCTTTAGAGCAGCTAATGGAGTTTTCTTAGCACAAAGATGAAACCTAATTGTCGTAAACAGTCCAGAACACATGTACACACATACGCAGTTCCCAGCAACTTAATTGTATTTCTTTAGCCAGATCACCGTGCAAATCATAATCGCGTCCAAGAAAGCACCACCTTTTTGTGTGCTTGAAAATGTTCATGCTCGCAGAGACCGCGAACCTATCTTCTACGCATATCTAGGTCTCAGAAGGAGTACATAACAGCTTTCAGTCCCCATATAACTCCATTTCCGCTAAGTTCATCCTGTACGGTAACTTCACAACAAGTCAGTTTGAGCTTCCTGAAGTGAAGGAGATCCATGGCAACCCAAAGTGCCCCTCGCAAACGTGAAGGCTAAATAATCAAAATGAAAGTACGACGATCTCGGACACGATATCAAGTTATACGATGAAAGCAATATCTCGGTCCAAGCAAGTGGAAGACGGAATGTGGAATTGCGTCGTCCGTCAGCGATTAATAATTACTGAAGTTGACGTGTACATCGAAATGTGAGAATTTAGATTGTGGTTTATATAAGTCACGAGTGTTTTGAACATATCGTTTCGCTAAAAAAACCCTATAAACAAATATGAAATGCTAGGCTCAAATATTCTAGTTGTTGAAGGAAAACACAACGCTGCCATAATTTTAGGCTACAGAATATTCCACTATTATACGTCAGCAGTACAGGGCTCTGTCTGAGCTAAAAATAAAAAGGAACAAGATCGATAGAGCCTTTACAAACATTTACCGAACCACTTATTGGCTGGGACTGAAGAACTCGCTATGACGATTGTCCGAATTTATTGATGCATAAATGATCACGATATACAGGCCTTCTCTACACAGTAGATTTTTGCCTTTCAATTAAGATAAAGCAAGGATTTTTTCGAGCTTATGAAAAAGATTTTCTCACATATTTTCCAGCGAGGCTCATGTTTTGAAGAAGAAAGCAATTGAAGAAGCTGGAATTCGTCCAGAAGGACACGATGGTGTTCACAAATCCACGGATATCTTTTACTGCTGCTGAAACGGAACCTGGGACAATGAGAAATCAATTTTTCATCTTGAATTTTTTTTAAACATCGCACATTTTTAATCCCGGAAGGAGATCTTTTAAAAAATAGGTAAGTAACTAACGTGATAGAGAAATGTCTCTTCAACGATCGTTAAAGTTACAAAACACTACAGTTACGCAGAAAGTACGGTTATTTGCATAAAAAGCCATCTTCTTCCGTGCGTTAAATAAGTTAGGTATTTGTTTAGCAACTCATTTAGTGCACTTGGAGCGTGTAAGGCGGTGTTCGGAGGCGCACTGCAATGCATGCATGGGACTGACCCTCGCCTCCGTGGCTCACCAAAGTTTCCATCCCTCCGAGTTCGGCAAATTGGTACTAGACTTGTCCGGGAGGATAGCAGCACTGGCTCGACACATCTGTAGGCCACCGCTAGTCATTGTGATGGCCAGATACGCATTCAGTCACCTCTAACGATGCTTAATGAAGTCGAAAGCATGGCCCTTCCCTCAAGGATTGATCAACGCCGAAAGCTTTATCCTTTATTAATTATTAAAAGCAATTACAAGCCTCCCAACGGTTTACCGCCTCATCGTGGCTGGAAGGTGTTTCTGGGTGCCGGACTGCGATGTACAGCGGGGGAATTCCTCCTCCTGGTTTTTAGCATTTTCACTGTAGTGGTTGGGGTATTATCTTCGTCTTAAGCATTGTTCATTTCGAAAGAGTCCCCACTGTAATTTCGAACTCTCTCACAATTTTAACTGTAGGAATGTGGTTTTAGAGCTCTACTTTTCCACATAAAATGCTCCTTACCATTACATTCAGATTTTTAGTCTGACAAAAGAACTGATCTAATAGCAACATCTTTTCGACAAACCAATGACATTCAGATCTGAAATGTTACCCCTTCATGAGTTTGCAGAAAAAAAATTGTGTGCACTGCAGAAATAGAATGTTGGTCCCGATGGTGTCAGTTAGTTGCTGGAATACTACGACTTACATAGTGAGGAGAATGTTAAAGCAGACTTGTGTTTGCCCCGAAGTATACGCCAATACGGTAGCACTAAGTTGTTTGGAAATTAATGAAGAATACCTAGTTTGATCTTTCTTTCACGTGTTTTGCAGCAGTTCTTTCTTAAAATTTGCGATGTATCAATGGAAATAAATTTTATGCTTCCTTATGCCGAAAGGCTCTTGTGGCGCGATGCTCGGAGGCGCCCTGCAACAAACACATGGAATCGACCCTTGCGCCCATGGCTCACCATGACTTCCATCCCGCCGTGGTCGGAAAATTGGTACCAGACTTGTCTAAAAGGATAGCAACACTAGATCATTGTGAAGGCCAAGTATGCATTTTCTCCCAACGGTTTACCATCCCATCCTGGCTGGGAGGTGTTCCTGGGTGGCGGACTGCGATGTACAGCGGAGGATTCATCCCCTGGTAGGGTCTCCTAAGTTGAGAAGGAATCCGGCGTCTCCATCAGAAAGCTTAGCTAAGAGTAAATTAATACCAGGATCCGCCACCGTCCTGGTATCAAAGTCGCACGGTGGTTAATCTCCCTCTGATCCACAAGGGCTGCGACTGCCTGTGGTGTTGATGACCTGAGGCAGACTTTGGCCAGGCTGACCTTGGTACTCCATGAAACCATAATAGCTTAACTAGCAAATCTCCGAAAATGGAGATTATGCTGGGGCCCGATAACCATTGAGGACGGGTTATTCAAGTTTCAAGTAAGTAAGATATGCATTTGATCACCTCTAAACGATGCTTAATAAAGTCGAATGCATAGAGCATGCCTCAGAGATTGATCAACGCCAAGCGCTCCATCCTTTATTCTTTATTGTGGTGCATCACTGATTTTAAAAATAGGTTGCATTTTTAGGAAATTTTGCGCATTAGAGCTGGCGGCATTGGAATAAACAAGCTTCTCTCTCATTGGAAAGACCGTGCAGATTCGAATTGTTTTATTTCGATTAATGAAGTTTGTTTTAAGCTGAGATATGCCACCGAGTGAATCGGGCATTAATGTCCCAATAACCTTAAGTCTTCCAACTATATAAACCAGAATTTACCTTCGTTTGATAACAGCTTCATTTTTTTATATTATAACGACGATAAGCATATGCATTGCATAAGATGACAGCATCAGACATGGAATATTCGACTTGAAAACTCTTCATCTGGACGAGCATTTTCTGGTTGGAAAAGCGCTCGTTCAACAAACAATTAGGTCTCGGACCACACAGTTCACATAAAATAGTATTTCTCGAAGGTAAAGTGCATCCTTTTATTCACTTTCGATAGTAAAATCGTTTCCCATTTCCTGTGAAGACGATCGGATGTTCTTGCGCATGATTGAAACTAAGCATACATTGCACAGGGCTGAAAAAGCAATTCCGATCGTATTTCTTAACAGTTCTTGACGAGTGTAATACCCATTCCGGATAACTATCTGCAGCCGCTTGAGATAACCTAAACGACAGTTTGCACAATTCAAAGAAACGTTATGTTTAACAAATGTTTTCTTCTTATTTCACTAGACAAACTTTCAACGTGGGCGGTATGTGTCCACACAGAAATTCGAACAAGGGATCACCAAAATAGAAGGCTCTACTAGACTGTGGATTTCAGCTGGACTTTGAAAAGTAGGAACTGAGGTAATGGACGGCGCTTACTGAGTTTCAATAGGAATGAGGAAATAAGTGAAGATATCAGCAGGTAGAATCCCAAGACAGCGTGACTACTAGTACACTCATTTCATGCTCGGTTACACCTACAGTTTAGTGACAGAATGACAGAGTGACAGAATTTTATGAACACTTTTCACAGATTGCTGATGGCAAAAAGATCGATAGAACTAGCTGAGAGACAGGCAGAACGAAGGACCCGGATGGTGTGGTGGTGAAGTGCGCTGCTCCTCGGTAAGGACAAAAGCGCGAGTTCGTTCCCCACCGCATACACCTGCGGTCCGGAGTTTTGCAAATATCTCAGCATTATATGCGAGTTATATTTCGCAACATACCCTGCCATTAAAAAGAATAAGGCAGTAAATAAAAGGGTTAAGACTGTTCACAGAATTTCCGTCATCTGTCGATTTTTAAGGCATTGTGACTACAACTCACCCAAGAAGACCCATCAATTGGCCGTTATGATATGAAGAAAGGATGGACGACACAATGGGTACAACGGCTAGGAACGACAGTAACAACGGTCTGATCATTTCACCTGAAAATGGTCAGAGAGAAACGCGCAAACCACGCTTTAACAGCCATCGACGAGAAAAGAGTCGGATTTTCCAACGTACTGCGAGAAAGTTACAGAAAGAAATAAGCCAAGATTTGTGAAAGGCCGGCGCAGTTGGTTGACGAAGTGTAGCTAAACTTTGTGGAGGTCTTATACTATAAAAATGAATGAGTTTTTCCATGTAAAATAAGAAGAAAAAACTTGTGAGTTCTGCCCCTGAGAAGATGGGACAATAAGAAATAAATATATTACGTCAAACAAGAACTACAAGGATAATCAGTAAAGAAGTTTGCACCGAAATACTGTCGTCACCTTCCTTAAAGTTGAAACTGCCGCTGTAAGCACATTTTCTAGAGAAACCACTATTTAAATCGTATGTTAAAGATAGTGTGAGATTACGATGAAGGGAAGTGTAGAAATTACGTTTAGGTAAATGTCAAGCGCACGTAGGTTCCACGATGAGGTCTGTAAACAAATACACCGAGAATAACTGTTTTGCAGGGTGTTTTGATGAGTGTTGTACTTTAAGGATTCAGGAAGATTCTGGAATCTTCCAGCAAAGAAGGGAGATGGAAAATATGTTGGCATCTACACCATTCTCTGTTCACTCTTTTCCCTTTAACAAACGGGATATTAAAGTATCTAAGTGGATTCTGATGTGGTAAACGATTTGTTTCTTCAGGAGGTCAACAAAAAAAATACTTAGACTGAGACTAACGGTCTTCCTCTTCTCGTCTGCCACATGTGACCTTCTTCTTGAATCTTCCGGAAAGAGTAGATAAGGCTAGGACGGAGGACTTCTAAAGCATCTGTTGTGAAAAATTAGTTGATACTTCCATAGAGAAACGCCATACAATACAACACTAGCTGACGTTTCGGCAGTATCGCCTTCTTCAGAGCCTGGAAGGGTATGCTGATATACAATCTACTAGGCCAAACGCTTCAATAACACTTACAAAAGGACGAAAAACTCTTTGGTAATTACATGATCAACAACTTCTCGAAAAACTCACCGCTTTCTACGTTACGTAACTCACCTATCGTAAAAAGCGGTGGGTTTTTTCGAGAAGCTGTTGATCATGGAGTTGCCATAGAGTTTTTCGTCTTTTCGTAAGTGTCACTGAAGCGTTTGGCCTAGTAGATTGTATATCAGCATACCTTTCCAGGCTCTGAAGAAGGCGATACTGCCGAAACGACAGCTAGCGTTGTATTGTATTGCGTTTTTCTATGGAAGTAAATGTATGCTGTTTAAAAACCTCGCGATTGCTGAACAAGAAAACGACACATTCATATTCCAATGCCGAGGTTAATAGAAAGTTGATCCTGGGAACTATTAGTTGATACTGTTCGCTATAGACGTGAAAATAAAAGATGTCCTCTACAAGGTCGAAGATAGTATTTATACTTGTTCTTTACGACAACTAGCAATTTATGTGATGTTCTTATTATCTGCCGTTCCTCAAAATAAAACAATAAAAAAACTGATGTGTTCGAAGACATCTTTCTTCCATCCATAATGTTCCCTCAGGTGGCGTTCGGCCTTTCATATTTCAGAAAACACGAGATCTTGAGACATTGCCTGTTTTAATTCCTTTCTCCTTCAAGCTGATTTATACATTCATATCGGTTTAGAACTGAGCGTCAAACGAAGTGGTGAAGAGGAGGAACGCGAAAGTACTTTTGGTGATGTGATAATCGGTGGAACTCACGCCAATGTGACCTACAGTGCGTAAAACGCATCCTGAAGCCTGATGACTATGGTCGTTTGGTTATTTATAACACATACTTTCAGGTAAAAGCGCGCATGTGGAGCAGTGGTTGGAGGAGTCCTGCAACACTCATATAGAATCGATCCCCATGCCCATGGCCCACCAAGCTTTCCATCACTCCGGGGTCGGCAAATTGGCACCAGACTCGTTTAGAGGGACAGCAGCACTAGCTCGACACATCGGTAGGCTACTGCGAGTTATTCTAAAGGTCGGATATCCATTCAATCACTGCTAACGATGATTAATTAAGACGAATGCGTGCCGCATCTCACAGGGATTTATCCATGCCGAGAGTTTTATCCTTCATCCTTTTGGTCTTAGGAAGACAATGTGCTGATTCGAGTTCCAAAAAAAGCGAATTTCACGGTTGCCAATCAAAATTCGATTTAAAGTCTCGCAAAAACCATCTATATCTTTTGTCAATGCGGTCGATTAACGTGTATCAAACTCCTTTCTAGGCTATGAATAGTTGATTTTTCTCTGCTGGCTGGACATCTAAAGCCGACATAATAGCTGTTAAAGTTTTGGACTAGAACACTAATCGTCCGCCATAATTAACCTAACCTTCCTCGCTCTATTTTTTACTTATGGAGCACGGAGGTCTTCGACGAAGACAAAAGCGCATTTCGTAGATAACGGAGTCAAGGTGCACAATAACGCGGTCTATTCGTTAGTCCGACAAATCGTCATGTAGATCCTCGGAATGCAAAATGAAGCAATTATTTTATAAGTGTTAAGCGGAACGACTATAAGTTAAGAAGGTCGGCAACCTTGTATCGTTTTTAGGCAGGGGTAGAATTGAGCTGAACCCTAAGTAACAACTATAAAGAGTAAATTACTGAAAGGTACAAAATTAGGAAAAGATAATGGTTAAAACCTTTCAGCATAATATATATTAATTTAAAACACTTATGCTCTTAACAATAAACTGTGGGGAAAGCATGAGCATCCCACAAACGCGAAAAAGGAACAAAGTGAGAAAGACTGCATTTCGCTCCACCCTAAGGCTTCTCCTCAGGGGGTGTATAGCACAGCGGTAGTGATGTCCGTCATCGCGAGTGTAGTGCTAGTTCGACTCCGCCCCGGGCCAGCCAAGCCTCTCATCCCTCAGGCGTTGGGAAATTGGTACTATACTTGTATGAGAAAAAGTCACACCCTGCAATCTAAATGGGAGCGCTTCAGGCCGCCTACCTCAGGACTCCATTGAGAATTGCTCCGCTAACATTCTACTACATTCAAAACGAAATGAAAATTTTCAAACAGCAACCAAAGCCACACATAAAAGTTGGAAGATCTCCACGGACAGTGGATACGAGGAAACGAATCGAACGTGGCAAGTGCTGGGATTTGCACAGTAGACGTGAAGACGGGTCACATAAATAAACAAATAATAACATTCCTCTCTTGTCATTTCACCTACATCTGTAAGTGATGCACTTAATTTGACAATGAAAATCGTTCAAACCAATAGTCTATAGCTCCCACATGACATTTAGCTGATGACGTTGATTTGCCTTAAAGTTGAGAAATAATCAAAGTAATAACTAAAAGCGATAGAATTACCCCAGCGTAATTGCATTAGAACACTTAATTTTGTCTGGAGAGTGGAGGGTGAATCCAATAAGAGACGTCAAAAAAGCCCTTTATTGCGTGGTTTCAAGTTTAATTTAAAGCATAAAACTATAAAGATAAAGACGGAAGCCAGCAAGAAATGCGTCTGAGAAAAACAATCGTTAGTACAACTGTTCAGAGACCATACACCTAAAGAGAACCAAAAATTCAAATTATTCATCATGTAAGCAAAAGATTAAACACCATTTTTGATAAGGAGTTGCCGTATTTAATAAGGTGTTTCAGACTTCACAACGCACGCCTACACCTAGACATCCAAGTTACACTCAAGTTGTCTAGTAATTAGGAATGTTCGTAAGAATTGTGCTGTTGAAAATAGACCATAGATTCCTACACATAACATAAAAAAGGATAAAGCTCTCGGTCTCGATCAATCCCTGAGGAATGCGCCATGCATTCGACTTCATTATGTATCGTTGGAGGTGATTGAATGCATATCTAGCCTTTACAATGCCTCGCGGTGGCCTATCGATATATCGAGTCAATGATGCTATCCTCCCAGACAAGTCTGGTACCAAATTTCCTACTAGCACCAGACGTGCCTAGAAAAAACCTCCTTCGATTCACAAAGGCAAGCCACTGCCATTGGTGAAAACGGAGGATCTCCGTACTACAGCTAAAACGAGATTCCGCGAAGAATCATCATGATCAGCATTCAACGTTATTCATGAAGGAAATAAACCGACAGCCGAATCAGCACGCAAGCCTGTGAACCCTTGCGAATGAGAGATAAAGACAACCAACCGAATTAAAGAAGTGTTGGAATCCGCGCCACGTGTGGATTCAGGTTTAACGGGTTATAAAAACAAGTAGGTGGTAAAAATTACATTTACAGTAAAATTCCAAAAAGATATAATCTTTTTCTGCTAGGTATTTCCTCTTTCTTACGACGTTTTTTTTGTTCTTAATCTCAAGAACCTTTACTTGATATTTGAGCAGTTCTAGTCCTATCTTCGATTACTTGATACATAAATGGCCCGCCTTCACTGGTTGTCGGGCCCCAGCACAATCATTATTTATCGGAGATTTGCTGGTTAAGCCATTATGGTTCCCTGGAGTCCCGAGGTCAGTCAGTCCGTCCAAAGTCTGCCCCAGGTCTTCACCGCGACAGGCAGTCGCAGCCCTTGTGGATCAGAGGGAGGTTTACCACCATGCAACTTTGATAACAGCTCGGTGGTGGATCCTGGTATCGGTTTACTCTTAGATAGGCTTCCTGATGAAAACGCCAACGCCGCACTTCTTCTCAGCTTGGAGAGCCTGCCAGGGAATGAGTCACCCGCTGTACATCTCAGTCCGACACCCAGGAACACCTCCCAACCACGATGAGGCGATAAACCGTTAGGAGGATTC